ATTTCTACCTTTGTTATTTCGTGTTTAACTTTTGAACAGAACAAGTATTGTAAACAATGTAAGTTTATTATTTTAATGTATGATGTTTGGATTTGCTATGTTTCATTTATATTCAATTGTTATGATACTGCACAATGAAGTCACACGCCTCCGGACGTTTCCGCCGTCTGCTCCCGGGGTGTGACAGATTGGTATCAGAGCTTTGTTTATAGTGAACTAGTATATCTAGCCATACAAGATATACAACTATAAATACAATGGGACTAAAACACTCTGACTAAAACCTTTTCTAAATACAAGTATAAATGTATACCTACATGCATACATGCTAGGAACAGTGTCATAATAAGTATGTTATAAAAGTAGTGATGAGTTGAACACTATGGGTAGGCCCTAGGATATGTAATTACACTTTGAATAAATGTAGCCTGATCAACTACATTTATCTGAGGTGTAACTAGCATATGCTGGGAAATAGTCGTGGTGAACGGCAAGTCTAGTACATACCAAAGGAATTCCAGAATCAAACATAAATAATTAAAATACAATAGGAGTATTTTAGAATCCCATAGAACCTCCCACACTTAAATCCCCTACATAGCCCTCATACCTCTATGATCCCACAGACAACATAGTTGAAGTTCCTCACCAAGACCTCTACTACCCTACTGTGATAACCAACGGGTGGATTGAGGAGAGTTTAGAAGTAAATCTTGAAGAATACCAAGAACTGGACTAAGAAGGGGGAAGGTTCTGATAAAGAATCGGATAAGGATAAAGACGTTGTAGAAACTCTTAGAGAGACTTACCCTATCAAGGGTGGGCAAGAAACCCTTCACCTCTTCCTCCCAAGATACGTAAGCATCCAATGTAAATACTCTTGGAGTAGGCATACCTAGTAATAAAATATTGCCCAGGCAAGTACAAGTTTCCTAACCAACACCTACCAGGTTCAGAATGCTTTGCCATCAGGGGGCAACCCAACTGCACGTCTGATAGCCAACAACCCACAATTGACATGCACCATGCTCCGATCCCCAACACCCTCACAACTCAGGCATTACCTCCATATGGACCACAAGTGAATCGTTTAGACTCCCAGTCTCCGACGCTCCATCATGAAGTAATGGTTACTGTAGGTAAAGCCCGATATATGACAATGTAAATCGGACCCCCGCCAAGTAAAAAGAACACCATTCCAAAGCCTTATGAAACCCACAAGTAGGACCAGAAAACTATGCGGACCATCTACACTCCTTGAAGGAAGAAGTGGTCATCTGTAGGCCACAACTCATTGTAATCAAGTCTAGGACATCCTTAGCAGCGTAAGGAACAAAAGGGCACTCATAACATAAGTGAAATGGACAAGCACTTTGTGCGCCATATCGGCATAGGAGAATCACCACACTACTCGTATTAGATTTATGATGTCTTTAATCGCAACCAGTAGTAGCAAACGAAGAGGAGTACACCCTCCAAGAACCCATGCAATCAAATCCGCTAACTATATTGCTAACTATGTTCTATTTTGATAGAATTAACGTCATACAATATGTGTTTTTACTCCCTACCATAACTACATCATGGGGATGTAGGCCGACGCATTGAGCATCATACACCAACACGTTAAGATTATATGAGTAAACTCAATTAGAATTAACCACGATTACTTACAAACTCACTTCTCGTGTGCAACAGAATCATGTCTTCTCATGGAGATAACCAGCACCCCGACGATACACCGGTTCTACGAATAGATTCCGCCACTTTCCAAGCCACTGTAACAGCTGCCGTGGCAGCTGTCATGGCACACTTCAATGCCAACAACACAAACGAAAATGGAAGCAGTGTTGGTAATTTCAACCGTAATAACAACCAAGGAAACCAACGAAGGACAACTCACCAAGGCACTCTAAAACCTAAACCTAAGAACAAGAAACGAAAGTTCGGGAACGAAGAAGCAGGAAGTTCGACTCAGAGGCCTACCAAAAGGCAACAAGTGGGAGCAGTCCTTACCATTACTAACCCTACTCCTTCCACACCGAGAAAATCATATGTTGGAAACTTTCCACACTGCAACAAGTGCACATACCATCATCTCGGAGCCTGCAAAGAATTATATTGCAATAGGTGCAACAAGAAAGGACACATCGCCCGAATCTGTAGGACCCCGATCCAATGCATCACTCCAACTCCCGAGGCTAGAATAAGCCCAATATGACACAAATGCGATGCAGTAAGACATTTTAAGAGGGATTGTCCAACAGAGAAGCATGACGGAGAGCTGGAGGAATTTGGCAACTAACATATGATGAAGCAACAAGAATCCCTACCGAGAAATTTTGGTACGTTTCAAACAACAAAATTTAAGCATCAAATCGTTTTCACAAAAAGGAGTTGTCAATTAACAGCATAATAAAAAATTATTTCCTTATCCGAACAAATCATGTCAATCACAGAGATACTAGAAATCCTTACAGGTGAACCAGGATAACTCCGTGTAAAAGTTAGGGTCATATATAATTAAGATTCTACGAACTAAGAGTGGGTGATTCCGCCTTATTTTCTGTTCCTAGTCCGATTTTGGGTTAGGGTAGAACCACGCAGTCGACTATCTTTTAAATACTAATTATGTACGGTTAGGTCGCACCCATCTATAATAGAAAAACCTAGCAGAATTCAAATTATGAATTACATCGCTTTATATCGGAACTCTCGTATTACTAGAACACTCAACAAGCAGGAACAAAATAGACGCAATAGTAACAACAAAATAGAAACTGGTAGTGATAATAACATGAACGTAGAACACCCCATCATTTCTAACAACCATATCTTCCCAATCGACGTAACATCTGTTATGATAAGGAATCCAACGTCATCAATTGGCACGGACTGGCTTGATTCTCACCGTGCAAACTTCAAGCACCACAAAGAGACTTCCGTCTTACCCAACCGAATAACGAAACTCTTCCAATCGATAACGACAAATCCCTAGCATCCAGACACATAAGCCCTTATGTAAGAGAAACCACGCTCCTTCCTGGCCCCAATAAAGATTAAAAGCAAGAAACAAAAGACATCAAGGGAATCCGAAAGGCTTCCAACCTCCCCTAGATATTCCCTGAATCCCTTTGGAAACCTCAATCATGTGCTAAATCGAGATGGAATCGACTCAACTCTTGGAACCATCCCAATAACCAAACCCTCGATACCACTTAGCACGGTCACGAAAACGGATAGTGTCTGATCAAAAGAACAATATAATAGGTAAGGAAAAATCAGACCAGGCCTCTAACCGCGGGAAGCACCCATCTAACTCCTAAGGGGGAAAGACGAATTGCCCATGGAACCATTGACTACTAATAAGTCAAACAAAACCCATCCTCAAGGATCGATACTCCCTACCCCGAATCAGAGACTTGTTCGACCAACAACAAAGAACTGGTAGAGGCCGACCTACCTTTAGCTCGGAACACCATAGGAAGAAAACTCCCAAGATAACCTAAGACTCATAAGTGTCGGACCACCGAATCTCTAGAAATTCCCCCCTTGACAAGATCAAGGTAAACAAGAACCCACACTCCGAAGAGAAGCATGTGTAATAGACATTGGCAAAGCTTGGGACACCCACCTGCCCCTAATCGAGTACTCATATAACAACCGCTACCACTCGAGCATAGGAGTTGCGCCCTTGAGGCCTTGCATGTCGGAAGTGCAGATCGCCTCTCTGTCCGGCTGAGGTGAGAATCACCCGATCTTATATATATATATATATATATATATATATATATATATATATATATATATATATATATATATATATATATATATCTTATAATAGCCGATAAGGGTCTTTTTTTCTAGCTCGTCCTAGGCATTTAAGGATATTTAAATTCTTATGATTGACCCTTAAATCATGCACTCAGTTACATAAACATAACAAAGTTGTTATCAATACTCATGGATCTTTATTCAAACATTTAACATAATAGATTAAATAGCTATCAAATTCCTTTCAATTAATTAAAACATAATCATATTTGATCGTGTACATTTAAACGAAAGGATAGGGACTTAACCCATAATGAAAACTAAATAGCTGAAATAAACAGAAATATTAAACATATTGCAAACCAAATTAATGATGAATGTGTAACGAAAAGACTCTTGTAGCAATATGTAGCCGTTTAATTCTCGGCGCGACAAGATATTTGCGGCGCGAATTACAAGATCTTCATAAGTCTTCGAAATCTTTCACATTACAAGATCTTCAGAAGTCTTCGAAATCTTTCACTATTTTGGAGATATATTTATTTAAATATCGTTTAGTATTCAAACTATGAATTTCTTCAAGAATATGCTACAAATATCTTATATTTTATCTTTTAGTCCTTATAATCTATAAAATACAAATTTATACCCTTTCAATAGACAAAATTGCAAAAATTGTCCATGTGGTATGCATTTTTTTGGGGGTTTTAGTCCAAACCACGACGTTTTTGGATTGACGGTCATTTTGAGCTAGTTTCATTGCGTTTTTTTTCCCTCTGAATAGTGAAATGACTGTAATACCCATGAGTTATTTATTTTTCATTTCTTTCATTTTTTTAAATCTAAATACTTATTTATTTATTTAACTAATTAACAAAATAAAACTCCCCTCTCTCTCTCTCTCTCTCTCTCTCTCTCTCTCTCTCTCTCTCTCTCTCTCTCTCTCTCTCTCTCTCCGGGTCATATACCCATTTCTTTCTTTCGTTCCCGATTTCAACGAACAAGAAGGGGCTGCTACCTCCGGCAATATGGAGATAGCCACCACACCACCTACTAGCCTCCATTTGACCACCAAAGTCCACCGTGAACTGCTACATCTCCGCCCACCATAGAACCATTCCAGCCTCACCCCATTTCTTTTTCTTTTCTGTTGATCTGAGCAACCCTAAACAAACCCCAATCCTTTCTCCTTCTTTCCTCTTCGATCTCCGCCCACCATAGAACCACTACTCGCCGTCGTTGTTGTGGTGGGAGTCCTGACCACCACCGGTGATATTCTTTTCAACACCCATCAATGTTGTTGTCTCCGACCACCTGTCACCGCCCACAGATCCAGATGCAGATATCCGGTGGGACGACTTTAAACCCAAAAGAAACTTGATTTGGGTTAATTTTTGGATGAAATCAGAAGACGATGGTGGAATTAGAACTTCATATCTGCTCTGTTCTCTGCCACCAAGGATGAAGATTTTCTCCATCGATCTACTTCATTGATTATCATTGGCTCATATAATCGGGATTCAAGGATTCGTTGGCATGAGAAACAAACGATCTTGAACAGGTGGGTCTCTGACCCCATCGTGTTTTAGATCTTTGATTTTTTAGCCAGCTCGATCTTTCTTAGTGTATCTGATAATTATAGGTTTGAGATCTTTGACTTTTTGATGCAGATAGATAAACACATGAATTGTTCCACTTGATTTTCTTTTCCACTGGTAAATCGATTTTTAATAGGAACTAAGGAAGATGTGTGTGTGTGAGAGAGAGAGAGAGACTTTTATTTTTTTAATTAGTTAAATAAATAAATAAGTATTTAGATTATAAAAAATTAAAGAAATGAAAAATAAATAACCCAAGTGTATTACAGTCATCTCACTATTCAGAGGGACCAAAACGCAATGAAACTAGCTCAAAAGAACCATCAATCCAAAAAAGTCGTGGTTTGGAATAAAACCCCGAAAAATGCATACCACAGGGACCATTTTTACAATTTTGTCCTTTCAATATCAAGAAGCATCTATTAAAATGTGAAGAAAAGTATTAAATATGTCCCTTAGAATATATATAATACATTTAATATCAATGAACGAGGAAAGCTATTTGATATATCATCTTTCTACGTTCAAAGAGTTGGTTGGAAACACAGAGAACATGAGCATAAAATATGATGAGTAAGACTTCGCTCTAGTCCTACCATCATTGTTATCCAATTCATATGTTCACTTTCGAGATAGATTCAAAAGAAAGTATGAAGCAAATCACCTATAGCAAAGACGACTTGCTCTATTATCTTATGGAGGTGTAGTCACCTCCCATCACTCCACATCAGTCTCTCATCTCAATGACACATTATTTTTCCATCTCCACCGTTTCATACAAGTGTGATCATCACTCCACATCACTCAATTTTTATAATACAATACTATCTATTAAATAAATACAAATTAAAATAGAAGATTAATTAAAATTAAACATTTCATTGATTCATAAAAAATTAAATTACATAATATAAATAATAAATACTTATCCCTAACTGTTTTTTCATCGAGAGTGTCGCTAGAAGGTTGTCTACTACAAAATCATCTCTTCATTTTAATTTTTAAGGAATGTTGACCGATGCACCACACAATGCAACTTCTTTTTTTTAGAGCTCTTATCCGGTCGTGATAAGTTGGGTTGTGGTTCGGGACCAACTAGGACTATGTTTCGGGCACCGGTTCGGGTTGGGCACCGATTCGTGTTGAGAATAATGCATATGGGGTGGGGTTTGCGAATGTTTAATTTAGGGATGAACACCTTGAAATTGAGAAGGGGAATTGAAAATTCCATATTGTGAGAGTAAGAAGATGGTAAAGTTTAAGAGAGAAAATGTAGAAATTGGATAAATTGTGAATAAAGTTAGTTGGTTAAATGACTATTTAATTGGTTAAAAAAAGGAATATGACTTATTAAGGTAATTAACTTTTCGGTTTGTTCACATCTGGGTAACCATTTTTTTTTGTACACATCTAGGTAACAAACTTGTTGTAGGTGTTCACATATGACCATTATGACCTGTTATCCTAGATGTGAACACTTTTAACAAGTTTTTTTACCTAGATGTGTACAAAAGAAATAGTTATCCAAATATGAACAAAACGAAAAGTAAGAGTAAATTACACGAAAGGTCCCTGTGGTTTGGGAGAATTTGTGTTTTTGGTCCCTAACTTATTTTTTAACTCGGATGGTCTCTACTGTTAATTTTTGTTGCGTGTGTGGTCCATGTCTTACCTAAAAACACTATTGTGCCCTTATTAGTTTATTTTTTTAATTAATTTTCTTATTTATGTATTTATTCTTTATATATTTAAAATAATAATAATAGATACCGCATATTTGTATCTCCTCACCATCCTATCTATCATCCTCCTCAATTTCTATTTATTTTTCATCTTTAGTGATATCAACGTCTTCACCATTCCTTCTTTTTTCGGTCCTTCAACTCCGTCGAATCAACAACATAACCCACTAAAGATGAAGAGACAGTGGGTTAAGGTGTTGGTTCGCCAGAGTTGAAGGACCAAAAAAAGAAGGATGGTGAAGACGTCGATGTCACTAAAGATGGAGAAGAAATAGAAGTTGAGGAGGATGAGAGATGGGATGATGGCTGATGAGACCCAAATTAAATTTCCCAAATATTGTTTCAGGTTTATGGTGAGGATATACATATATATGTGGGGTCTATTAATTTTTTTAAATATATAAAAAATAAATACATAAATAAGAAAATTAATTAAAAAATAAATTAATAAGGGCACAATAGTCTTTGTAGGTAAGACAGGGACCAAACGCACAACAAAAATAAACAATAGAGACCATCCGAGTTAAAAAAATAAGTTAGGGACCAAAAACACAAATCTCCCAAACCACAGGGACCATTAGTGTAATTTACTCTTGCTTTTCGTTTTGTTCATATTTGGGTAACTATTTTTTTTGTACACATCTAGGTAACGAACTTGTTAAAAGTGTTGATATGTAACCTGCTACAGCAGATCATAATGGTCATATGTGAACATTTCCAACAAGTTTGTTACCTAGATGTATACAATAAAAAGATAGTTACCTAGATTTGAACAAACCGAAAAGTTAATTATCTTAATAAGTCATATTCCCTAAAAAAACAAAAAAAAAAATAAAAAACAAACAATTCACCCTTGGGCGGTGAGAGGGGTCACGAGACATCACACCACCTCAGCATCACGGCTGAAGGGGCCGGTGTTCACGTCCCTGATGTGATGCGCTGACACCTAATTATCACCCTGTATTGCGTTAAATGCACATTGTATAGTCTTAGTTGACAAATTATTAGATTTTATAATCGACATTATGAGTTTCTAAAACCCATCTTTTCATGTGATGGTTGCCTTGGTGATAATACCATGAATCTAGTAAGTATGAACGTATGCTTAGTTTACCAAGAAAAATAGACACCCTCACGAAACAATGAAATAGACAGTTACTAACTATTCATATTACAAACGAAAACAATTAAAGTTGAGAAAAGAAACTTTACGAAACTTATCAAAAATTAAATGTCAGAAATTTAAGTTTTTGGTTCAACACAGGATATCCAACATATTTTGGGCTGCTAAAGTGGTCATAAAGTAATTCTTTTCGTCAATAAACTTAATAAAAATAAAAACCTGATAGACACTCTATTGTCATGGTCAGAGAAGAAGAAGAAATATGTTATTGAAATTCATTGACCGCAAAGTCGGTATTTAAAAATATAAGATTTTCTCCACACATACAAAATCTTGAAAATTATTATGAGTAACATCTCAACTACTACAACCAATAATTTTCTAACAGAAGTAAGACTAGATACTCACATCAATTTATTAATCAAATAAAATCACATATACGACTCGGTCATATAATGCCCATTCCATGGACCATGGATATATCGGTCATAATGACCATTCCATAGTTATATCCAAGAACCTCAGTTTTATAATTTCTAATTATCAGATAATCTATGTATAAACAATAGACTAAACGGATCTAGACAAAAAATGACCATAACGTTAATTTGAAATAACCAAATTTTTTGGGTATTGGGAAAATGACATTTGTATCCGGAACCAGACATATCAGACTCATTGTTTACATTCAAGACTGAAAAACTATATTTGATTATACATAACGTTGTCTGGAATTTGACATGTTCACTAAGGTACATCCGAAACTCTGAAGTTGTACATTCACGCTTGTCATAAAATTTAAGGATGCTGATGCACCTAACAAATATAAAATCCCCACTTACCACCTTATTCTAGTACGGTATAAACGTATTAATCCAAAGAGACTTATTTATACTTAATTTAAACCGATTCATTCGCTATAAAATCATTTCACTTTCATATAAAGAGGAGTTCATTAAAAAAAAAATACTATGTAGAATTGTGAAGAGGAAGATTTTTATTGGATCTTAATTCATATCCCGAAGTCGGCCCAAAGCATCCCAAATTCTATTGTGGTGGACCGTGGGTGAGCATCTTGACTGGAATTTGCCCAGACCATACTGTTCAATGTAACTTGACCATTTGGAACATTCGCATTGAACATCTGGTTTCAATTGAGCATTTTGGATATGATAGCACTCTTCAATATGATGACATACTTGGATATGAAGACACTCGTGGTTATGATGGCACTCTTGGGGATGGAGCATAACTGGAAATTCCATGAACATGAAGTGTCACTCAATTGCCCCTGATGCGTCGTCATGACACCTCAAATAAGCACTATGAAGAGGAAGTGTCACCATGTGACAAGGTGCCACTCAATGGCACCTGGTGCGTCGTCATGGTACCTCGATGAAGTATTATGAAGAGGTGCCACCAAGTGATAAGGTTCCACTCAATAGCACTTGATGCACCATCATGGAACCTCAAAAAAACTATATGAAGAGAAGGTGCCACTCAATCACACTTGATGCATCGTCATGGTGCCTCGACGAAGTATTATGAAGAGGAGGTGCCACTAAGTGACAAGGTGTCTTTCAATGACACATGATGCACAATCATGGCACCTCAACAAAGTGACATGCACTAGAGATGCCACCAAGTGACAAGGGATGCCACTCAATGAAACTTGATGTGCCAGTGGTGCATTGTTGGTGCCAATGCAATGTCTCTTAAGGATGAAGGTTGCAGAAGAGGTTGCATAATGGGTTATCATTGGTTGACACTTTTCACGGGCCAATGAATTAATAGGCTTGACCCATTAGGCTTTTAGGTCTAATCCCTAGTATATAAATAAGGATGTCTACTAGTCTTTTAGAGGAGGTCTTTAGTGTCTTGTACCCTTAGTGAGTAGGTCGAATCCTTGTCATTTGTACTTGTAATCTATGTTTGAAAACTCTATGAATAAGAATAATCTCTTTCTGCCTGTGAACATAGTTCACCTTCACCGAACCACGTAAATATTGTGTCCT